CGCGCGTAGAAGACATTTCGAACAAGAGGGATTATCGATCCGCTCTATTCACAAGCTTCCTCCTTTGGCTGAAAGGAGACCTGTGGCTTCTTGTACGGATAAAAGCAGTGATGAGCGGCTCTTTCAGAAGGGTAAGGGGAAGGCGGTTATTTCCATTTCAGATGTGCGGCAAATTACCAGAAGAAAAAATATTTTTCTTCCTGCTAACTCAAGTGCACTGCAAGTCCCACAAGCAAGTCTAGCAGAACAAGAGGAATTCCAGAATTGGAAACGAAAAGTTTTCGAAGGGACTGTGAAAAACTGTCGTACAGTAAAAAGTATCAATTGTGTGAAAAAGTCCTCCAATCAAAGCAAAATGACAGAAAATCAATCCAAGACCAGCAAAAACAACAGCCGAATTCCCTATGAAGCAGGCGTAACACAACAATTTTTCGCAAAATCTAAAGCATCATCCGATGTAAACACAACCCAGGAAGCTACTATTAAGACCAAAGGAATTCCCATTGCAGAAAAAGCCCAGGAAATCTCTACTCAATCCAGCCGACCACCCTTCCCTGACACCAGTTTGTCGCCAACCATGGATTTAAAAGAGAAAACCCGCGCTGTTCTTCTTAGCAATATGTCTGAAGTGAAACAGAAAGGAAAGGTATTACAAAGTTATTCCGAAAAAGATTGTACCTCGAACACCTCGGAATTCCCGCGGCGGTCAGAAATACCAGATATTGAAATTGCAGACAAAACTGTTAGGAACGACAGTTTTCCTTGGAAGACTGAAAATAAATCAAAATCATTCCATTTAAAACATGCCAAAAAATACGAGAATGAGGCACTAGACGGGTTTCATGAAGGCAAGTACCAGCAAGAGTTAGAATCTCAGTCAAATGTCCATTCTGAACAAGAGCTGAATGGGAAAAGCAGGGCCGACCTTCTGTTAGTTAAAAAGTTAAACAAGAGAAGACTTCTGTTTCGTCTAGCACGACAGGGGCGGCACGTCGAAACTGAACCCATTGTAGACAGGTTATCAAACCATTTTGTCAGCACTAACAATGCAACAAAAGACGACGAAGCAAGAAAAGTGATCGCAATGAGTGAATCAGGAATACAAATTAACCAAACAACACTTGATTCGCCATTTAATGGGCAGAAAAATACGATTTCTTTCTCACAGAAAGGAAAAAATAGCTGTGTAGATGTAGAAAACGACAATCCCAGTGACGAACAGGTTTGCAATGTGGTGGATAGAAGTGTAGTGAAAGAAGGCCCCAAAAAAGAAAAAACAATGACACAGAAACAAAATTGCTGCAAGGACACTGAGGACGTCAGATCTGGTGGAGAACATTCCTGTGAACACCGTTTAAACGTTAAGAAAAAAGAAAACGAAAAAGAAGAAAACCATCAAGACGAGTCCTGCCTCACATATCAAAGTTTACAGTACAAAAACAGTAAAGTTGATTTAGCTTTGGTAGATACAAATGCAGAGGAAAGTTCTCCAGTCTGTAAATATGAAGCCTGTGCTAGTTCCAAGGAGCTAGAGAAGCCGAATCAGGTAAACCCCCATAGTTTCATGACCCCAAATCGTAAGAATGGCACTTGTTCTGAGCCTGTTCATGTGAATACATTTCATGAAAAAGGGTCGTACAACACACCTTCTGACCGATCTGGGAGAACGGCAAATGACATTGGCCAGTTTCAAGACTGCTATTCAGTGATAAGGGGTCGTAGAGAGGGACAGTGCATTAAAACTGTTTCTGAGGAGAAGCTGCGTTTTCTCCGTGTGATGCAAAAGCGGCTTTAAGAAAATGCAACGGGGATTTCTTCACTTATTATGATTCCCCTCATAAAGAATAAAGCCCGACATTGTTTCCCCCAGAATTTCAAGTGCCTCGATTAAAAACGCCTCAATTTTTGATGTAAGAAGTTGTTCAATTATAGGAACACTGTACAGTCGAACATCAACTCGCGGGCACCCGCTAAAAGTGGACATCTCGTTATTTCTTGTTCTATGAGAAAGCCCTCATAATATCTCAAATCTAACCTACCCAATACAGACACCCCATAATGTAGACAGCGGGTATTTTTTCTTGCCCAATCAGTAGATTTTCATGGAAAGTTAACCCAGCTAATACTGACACTAGTTCTATCAACTCCGTAATGGAATAGGCTTTACTATTGTGAAGGTTTTACTAAAAAAATGTTTAGATGCCGTCTTGATGCCGAGGACAACCTGTTGTTTAGAGTGCAAACTAAACAAGAAATATTATAAACCAAGACGTCAATTACTTACCTATTTGGCAACAAACGTAACCTGCCATCAGGCCTTCCTTCTTCCTTGTATCTTTGGGAGGTAAGAGGTTTCCTTGCCTTTGGCAGTCCGCCGAATTTCGCCCTTCCCCGAAAAATAAGAACGCCTGATTGCAGGTTGCATCAAATAAACGACATCTACCGAGTACTCCTTCGAGTAGTACCATAAGTATAGCTAATGTGTGTAATAAGTGACTGTACTCTTTGCGTGTTCAATTAGTCCCCGGGTAATGGCTATTTGTAAACTAGATACGTTAACATTGTTGATACTTGAGTCATGTGCTCGAATATTTTTTCAACAAAATATGTATTTTTGACTTCATTAACAGGGCCCTGTTAATACGAGCTCCCCTCTTCCATTAATGGGGACCGTCCATGGTCCCCTCAGTATCCGTATTGACGGGGCTCGACTGTTATTGATACTTTTAGATATTTTCTCACCGATCTTGATGAATTGTTTGTGTAAAAAAGTAGACTTTCCCATTAAAGTCATTTGTGTTTTGTGTATAACTTCTGGGTGTTAACTAAAAAAGTTACTTCTCATGTTTGAAAAAAACGTTTGTTTTTCTGACTGACACCTTGCACAAGGATGTCAATGCATTCGAAAACACCAATATTTTTTGGGAGTGTATGTCGCTTCAGGGGTAGCGGGGTTGAGGTATCCTCTGCAAACAGGACAAGTAAAGCGGCTCCTTGCCTCCCCTATCCTACGGAACACCCGTGGGTAGGGTGGAGTACCCGGTCTGCCCCCTATCAGGGTTACATGAAGTCATGGCAGCGGGTGTTGAACATTTTTGAAGCAGACACCTGATGCTATAACTCACAGTGTTGGCTCTCAAAACTGGCGCCAGGTATAGGATTCCCCTACTTTGCAGAACATCAGCTGGGGCCCCTATCTTATAAAGATACCGCCTAGGGAAGAAAGACCCGGGACCTACTTCCTGAAACAATTTCATCCCAACAATCCGAGACCAAACAATGGAAATAAGAGAAGAAAGGCAATAGACCTCTTTAGCTTGTATGTTTTGTTTTCCCAATACAGGTCATGTGATAGTACTCTGGGGAACCATTTCTTTCAAATTTCGTCTTATTTACGTGCATATCTACGCATAATTTATGAAAAGACTATGAGTCAAGTGCCCCTGGGACCTCTTTTGGGAAAACAATACATACAAGCTAAAGAGGTCTATTGGGGATAAGCAGTTAGAGTAGTAGTATGTCTTTTCACAGTTTTTACCGTAGTGATCAACAATTCCCTGCAATAATTAATCCTCCACGTGGGTCTTCATACAGTTGTGGACCCTACTTAACATAAAGCATTAGACTGTTTTTCTTTCAGTTTACAAACCTGGCAGTGTTTCATGCTTATTTTGGTACATTTGGCGAACATTTAGCGAAAAGCCCAATTTGAAGCCAACTGTTTGCTTTCTGCAAGACTGAAGCCGATTGAAGTGCTATAAGAAAGTAAGCAAATCAGTAACTTTATTTAATGTCGATAAAGTGGGGAGTGGTCGCACAGTCTCTTTTAGCCAGGGACTCGTGTAAAAAAATACTCGACCGCGCTGAAACTTACGTATTCTATTTCGTATTTCTAGTCACAAATATAAAAAATGATGATGTTTTAATTAAGTTACTCACTGTTTCCAGGCCTCATTTTTCCATTTCTTATGCAAATTATATCGAAAAGAGAAAGTGAAAAATGAAGCCTACCTAAACCGATCGAGGCTCTATTATCTCCATGGACCGAAATTTGCCACACCAAATACTAAGGTTGTATACAACCCTGTTACTACTTCTTGAATGAGCTTACAGAGTTGAATGGCCTAACGCTTACTAAAAGAGCTGAACCGAGTTTCTGACTTCAAGGTATAATACAAGAATTAATAATTATATCAAAGCCAAATCCTGCAGTAGGTTTATATTACAAGAATTATTCTAAGAAAACTCCATCCGATCAGAAGTGCTGTAATCCACAGGAGATTAGGTACATCTCAGCTTCCAATATTAGACCCACCCTCCTCAGTTACATGATTTACGTGATTTCTCTCCTGTCCTCCCACCCCTTATGGGCTCCCCCCGAGCTTCGCGAGGTTCTACGATATGCCTATTTCTAGTATTAAAAATATGTATATATAACATTGTTAATATATTAGGCCACATAGGCAGTAAAGCGTTTCAGTGGAAGACGATCCAGTCACTCGAAACTTATGAATTCAAATGTCGAACTTCTCTTACTTGTATTTAACTTTTAGGAACGATTTCAGTCAAAACTCTACATTTAGTAAGCTTCCTACAGTGGGACCTTAATGTAACGGACCTCTGTATAACGCAGTCTCCGGGATAACGAGTGATATTCTGTAATTCTGTTTAGTAATAGAAAAATAAATGAAAAAGAACCTCGATATTACGAAACCTTGGTGTTGCGAACATGTTTTGCTTGTCCCTTGGCCCTTTGTTATATCGAGGTTCTGGTATATTTTAAAAGTGCCACATCCCCCCCCCGGAGTTAACATTGTCCATAAATTGATATCATAATAAGAACTCCTTTTAAACGGCCAACCTTCCTTGAGAGCCGCGCCGATTAATAGAGAGGTTCGACTGGAAGTTTGGTCTAATTGTGATGTCATACGTTTGAACTGGGTTTGGTTGTGTATCTGTGGTTCTCAATTCTCTGATATAATCAAGTTTGTATAATGTTACTAAAACTTGAATCTTGAGTACCAAGCATCAGAATCATCATCATCGAGGGATACGTTTTTCAGTGTTTTCCTTGCCTCTTCGCTGATGTCTGAAACTTGCCGGGACAGCCTTCGAACCAGCTTCTCGCTTTCATCTTCATCCTTTGTTTTGGAGAGGAGCTGAGCATGACGTTTTGCCACTTCGTAGTATTTGACACGTTGGGCCCACCCAGGACTGGCAGCTCTTTTCTCAGACTCAATAAGTAGTTCAATGTACTCTTCTTCAGTGAGTAGTTTAGGCTTAAGAGCGATTTCATTCAAACGACGAACACTTTTCTGAGCTTGTCTTATTTTGTTGAGAACTCCTACATGAACATTTTCTAGAGATTCCGCCAACGAAATCAGCATCTGTTTTGCTGTGGCCTTTTCGTGAACCGCCTTTAGGTATTTCTCTTTGAGAGATTCTAATGTTCCTGTCTCTGTAGACACTTCATACTTGATCAAGTATGGAAAGTTCTTGTGATCAGACCAAATGCAACCAAGAGGACAAATTCTGCATTTGCCTTCCTCTCCCATGACACTGCAGTTAATCTTTTTCCTTTCATCAGCAATTTTACAATTCTTATGACAAGTGCTCTGGCATTTAATACATGTGGTGGTGTGTTGTCCTGTTCCTTCTAGGCTGACATGAACTGGTTTAGTAACAGTGACTTTAAAGGTGAAATCCTTATTTGCTTCAATTTCTAGTTCGTGTGCTTGCAACACAAGTTCCTCCTGTCTCATCTCTTCCATTTTGTCCAGTCCCAACTTGATCTGATCTTTAAGACTTTCAAGTGAAACGTACAGTTGTTCTCGTTCCTTCAGTACTTTCTTAGTGAGTTGAAGGCTGACGCATTCAGATTTAGGGAATTCCAAGAAGAATTTGTCGAGAGAACTCGTATTCATTTCCCAGAACTTTTTGTCATAGCTTATTCCTTCTTGAGCAACGTTCGACGCAAAAAGAGCAGAGTTGTTGAACTTGAAAAGTTTTTCATTCTGGCTTGGGATTTCGATTTCTTTGATGACGTCTAAAACAGGAGGACTTTGACTATCTGCAAAGGTAATCATCGTGAAGATATTTTGAGTAACATCACAGCCAAATATTGACAGGATTGAATCGAATATGTACTTCTGCGTTGGAGTAAGGCGTGCTTGTGAAGCATCAATGACAAAGCCAATTCCATCGAGATGGTCGATTCCTTCTGGTAGAGGGATAGTAAAGAACTTCTTTATTTGCTCAGTGATCTCTTTGTCTCTTCTTAATCCGTCTGTTCCACCAAACCCAGGAGAGTCAATTACTGTGAACGTGTAGGGAATTGGGGACTCATTAATAGCAGGGTAAAATGTGTAAGCAGTGAGGTAACTCGTTGGTTCATCGTCTGTTATTAGCTTGAAACGGAAGTCATCGTTCCATTTGACGCCCTTAAGGTAGTTGGCCATGGCATTGATCAGAGTGCTTTTCCCAGCCCCAGTCGCACCGACCATCAGTAACACCTTTTCTGGAGACTGCCTTATTTCACCAATAGATTTTCTGGAGAGCATTGATTTTGACAATGACAGCTCCTCTTTTACTTGAAGTTTACGGATATAAGGAGGTCCATCCTCTGTATCTTTAATAATCTCTAGTTCCTCATCTTTTGAAACTTCTCCTGAGCCTTGGTCTTGCGGTGGTAGGTTTTCTCTATTATAACTATCAAAACTATGCCCGGCTGGCGGAGTCTTGTTCGCATTCGGGAAACACTGCTGATCCTTGTGCCCTCCGTTTTTAGTGCCATCGTCTTTGCATTTGGTCGTGGAAGTCGTCGTGGCTTGTACAAAAAACAGAATGTATATTAATATTAGCAATCAAGAGGATCTAAATCCTTATTATAAAGAGAAATTATTAGCAATCGCTATCCTGGGTTTGAAAAGCAAAACAGTGCTCGCTAAATAAACAGTATCTAACAGTTAAGATATATACTAACGTTATACTAGAAGTATAGATTATATATACTACTCAGTGGAAGTGGAAGTGGAAGTCCCGTACTCATTTCATACAAAATTTGTAACCTATGATGTAAGCAATTACTCAATCTACTTTTGGATTTTTTTTTAGACAAATGTGCAAAAAACCTCCTTGTCTTATTTCTTTTATGACTTATCTCGCCTCGCCTATCTTCCTTTTGTCTTATCTCGAAGCCATATTATATGAACGAACAGCGATTTGATGCAATATAAGTTACCAAGAAAAATCGGTTTCTAAAATCTGAAGAAATGCCGTGCGGGTGGTGGTACTCATCCTGACCTTCCACCTTGCCGGCAGCTTTAGTTTGGATGGACAAGATAATGAGAAGAAACAAGGGCACCCAACGAGGATATTATTCAAAACCACGTATTTTAGTGTTCAAACGGTAGATATAGGCATATTTTTATCCCCTAAAAACTTTTCATCTGTTCGGATTTCCTAGCTGAAAGTCTAGTGATCCGAAAATTATAGGGATAAAAACTTACCTTCTCGAAATTGTAGATGTTCGAAAATCCTAGGAGAGGCAGGCAAGCAAGAAATTTTACAACAAATGCTCCGAAAATTCTAGATCTCAAATCGTCTCCCGAACAGATATTTTCCCGAAAATTGCCGTTGGGTGCCCCTGAAGAAAGACGAGTTCGGTTTATTCAGTGTTTGAGACACAGTCTGAGAGGAGGGACGACTTAGCAGTAACGCCCGATTTGAAGAGCCAGAGTGCATTTGTTTGGCTAAAGATGATCTTCAGCCCCCAAAACATCAGCAAATAAAAGACGCACATTCGGCGAAAGAAATGAGGAGGTATGACAACCTTGCAGAGTTGTGGTGCGGCAACAGCTAAAAAAGAAGGGTGAAGAGACTCTCTGCAGGCCTTATGTACTAATACGAAAGAGATAGTCAACAGGTAACTATTATTTAACCAATCTTTGTTTCCTCAACTCTAAACTCTTGGAATAAAATAGAGACCCGTTTCGTTTAAGCTTAGCTTGTGCATAAGCTTACAATTCAATTAAAAACAACAAGTCATGGTAAGAAGACATTTTGTATATCACTAATCAGCAGAGTTTGGCTGGGAAACTGAATGATTCACTCTCTGCCGTGAACAATTTTATAACATTACCAACACTCACCATCGGTAGCTGTTGAGTTAGAGCTCACCATTGCCTGCTGCATTTTCCGCAACTGATCTTTGATATCTTCTTGCACCGTTTCCACAACTGTCTGAAAATGTTCTCGTAATTTGAGTTCTTTTGTTTCCACTTTGCGTCCTAATGCCGTTTCCAAATGAGCCATTCCTTCTTCAGTTGCAACCTTAAGCTCTCCTAGGGCCTTCTTCACCTCTATGTCATTTTCATACCATCTCTTCAATTCATCAACATATATTTCATCTTTTTGTGTAAGGGGATCTTTTAAAAACTTATCGATAGCCTTTTGCCACTCCTGTTGCTTTTAATGGCCAAAGTGACCCGCAATTCTAACGAGAACTTCACCAATCTCTTGCCAAAGAGGTGGAAACTCTTCGTTTGCGATCTCCATCATCTGATTCACATGCCCATAAACTGAATTTCTTAAAAGCCTTATTCTCACTTGATCCGCTGCTAACGAGTGGTCTGTGTTTGACGGTGAAATGTCCCATCCCGCTGAAGGAGGAGTAAGGTTGCATATTGTCCTCAATAATCTGGCAAGCAATGTGATATCGAAGTCTGTTGACGTCCCATATACCCCTGGAGAGGGGTAAAGACATTCCCACGGTGCCTTTGTCAAATTTGCTTTTTTGAGCAGCTTCTCTGTTGCAGGAGCACTCAGTTTTGCGCGGAGTTTGCTTGGCGGACAACGAGTGTCAAATACCTCCCTCAGAAGACTGGTGCCGCCACTTATCAAAAGTCGTGAAAGACGCTGAAAATTGTCTTTTCCCGCTGTTGAACGGAGCACTTCAGCTGCGTCTGAGGGAGCCGCCATTTCATTTAAGGCCTGTAGGTGACGTGAAAATTAGTAATCAAGAATTACAACTTATTAAGATTTTATACTGGTCGACCGCGAGTGGTGCAATAAGTGCTAAATCGGAAAATATTATGACCGATTTAGAGGTACTATCGGAATAATCGTAGAATCAGAACTGAATTATGGATCACAACTCCTATTATACTATTCGCCGACTTAGCACCGCACCCTTCTGTTCAATATCGTAGCGAAAGTCAACGATACTTAAATTCTGCGGTTCCTCCCCAGAACAAAACGAAAAAAACACTGAATCAGAGCGGTTTGATGAATCAAATGAGAAGTTTTAGGTGATAACTTTCGAGAGTAACAAATGTGCTTTCTTGCGTCACGGATCATTTTGAAGTGAACAAGTCTTGATACATTTATTGAACGCGTACGGTTACCTGCCATCAATTTAGCTGGGTCTAAAGACCATGTGACACAAGGATTGACAGAACAGGAGGTACTTTGAGCGAGGAAATTGGTCAGACAGGGTCACCCAACAAAGCCATTGAATTTAAACAAACCTAGTTACACACAATAAAGAGACAAAATCTATATAAATTGATAAAAAAAAGTCTCAATTTCTCACCTATTTAAGGTTTTTGTCTGATTCCCCCAAATAAATGCGCCAGTGGAAAAACTTTTACCTTACGTGAAAGTCATTTTAAACGAACATAAGTTGGAGAGGTTTACGTCCGCTGGTTGTAACAGGCCGAATCCAAAATTATTGTGGCCTGACGGTACGGAGTGAACACTGGACTTTCAACTTCGGTAAACTCCAGAAGCATCCATGTTTTCTAGCCCATAATAACAGCCAATAATAAACAGACATGTCATATCGTCTGATGCTCGTTCATTGGTCGCTGTTCTTAGACACTGACATTGTCATGCAAATATCACGTGGCATATTTTTCCGAGAAAACTACGTATACGCGATGACATGTCGATTTCTTCCCCGAAACGTAGTTTTTCTGCATTAGGTATTTGGTCAAAGAGATCATTTTTAAGAGATCTTTTGCTTGGCTTCTACAAATCATTGCAAGGAAGTTTTTAGTCCTTTAGGTAAACTAACAATAAGGGTCATCACTGGTATTTTTTCCTTAACTAAGGTAAAGAATGGAGACTGCACACTGAATATTTCAGCCCTTCTTTAAAAAGAAATAGCGCTGTAGTCACAATTTAGAAAACAAATCAATGTCAAATTCGTCAACTCCTTAGAATTATTCTTACGAAGGTATCTCCGTATACCTACTTTCTTTTAAACGCATGCAAACTCAAAGAATTCAAAAAAAAAATCATAAACATAATAACAGCCCATAATAATAGCCAATAATAAACAGACATGTCATTTTGTCTGGTGCTCGTTCATTGGTCGCTGTTCTTAGACACTGACATTGTCATTCAAATATCACGTGGCATATTTTTCCGAGAAAACTACTTATACGCGATGACATGTCCATTTTTTCCCCGAAACGTAGTTTTTCTGCATTAGGTATTTCGTCAAAGAGATCATTTTTAAGAGATCTTTTGCTTGGCTTCTACAGCTCATTGCAAGGAGGTTTTTAGTTCTTAAGGTAAAACTAACAATAAGGGTCATCACTCGTATTTTTTCCTTAGCTAAGGTAAAGAATGGAGACTGCACACTGAATATTTCACCCTTTCTTTAGTAGAAATAGCGCTGTAGTCACAATTCAAAAAAAAAAATCAACGTCAAATTCGTCAACTCATTAGAATTATACTTAAGAAGGTATCTCCATATACATACTTTCTTTTAAACGCATGTAAACTCAAAGAATTCTCTTTCACTCTATATAATTGGCTTTTTGAGCCAAAGCAAGATTCGTAGCATCCGTGTTACCAAGTCATTCATACGAATCGAACTGTTTGAAATAAGAATAGAAAACTCAGTTAGTAGTGGGTAAACAAAAGTGGTCAATCACATATCATTTAACTCAACTGTTATCCCTTTCTCACAGCCAAGTATCCTTCGAGGCACGCCGGTGAAAAAGTACACGAATATGACAACAGATGCAGTTTCCACTTCTAAGCCCCGTCTTGCAGAAAGTTTGCTGTACACTTCTGAAGTGCTTCCATCTGAACATGAATCACCGGTAATCTATAAACCACATATGCGGGACGAAATGATTCGTGAAAACAGCATGATTGCAAGGAAGAGCATTGGAAGGCCTTGTCGTAACGGCCATGGAGAAAACGAAAGAGTCTTTCTGGTGGTAGGAGCGACAGGAGCTGGGAAGTCGACACTCATCAATGGAATGGTGAACTACATGTTCGGGGTGGAATGGAAAGATGACTTTCGATTTAAGCTCATAACAGAAGACGACAAATTGACGCAAGCAGACAGCCAGACCAACGGTATCACTGCATACACGTTTCACGCTATGGAAGGCTCACCCACTCCATACACATTTACCGTAATCGATACTCCTGGTTTTGGTTCAACTGAGGGGTTAAAGAGAGACAAAGAAATAACTGAACAAATTAAGGAGTTCTTTTCCATCTCTCCACCAGAAGGGATCGATCATCTCGACGGCATTGGCTTCGTTGTTCAGTCTTCCCAATCACGTCTTACGAAAACACAGAAGTACATATTCGACTCAATTTTGTCCATATTTGGTAAAGATGTTTCCCAAAACATTTTCATGATGATCACGTTTGCAGATGGCCAACGTCCTCCTGTTTTGGAAGCCATCAAGAAAGCAGAAATCCCAAGCACAGTGTCTTTCAAGTTCAACAACTCGGCGCTTTACGCGGATAATAGCACTGATCACGAATCGAGCGATTTTAACTTTGATGAAATGTTTTGGAAGATGGGCGCGGGTTCGTTTAAGAAGTTTTTCGTGGAGTTTCCAAAGTACCCAAGTGTCAGCCTTCGTCTAACCAAAGAGGTATTGCAAGAACGGGAACAGCTCCAGATATCGTTAGAAGGTCTTAACGATCAGATTCAAATAGGCCTCAATCGAATTGAGGAGATGCGTCAAGAAGAAATTGTGTTACAACAACATGAAGCAAAGATAAAAGCAAACAAGGATTTCACCTACCAAGTCAAGTTAGTGAAACCATCTTATATCAGTCTTAAGGGAACTGGCCAGCACACCACCACTTGTGTCACTTGTAACATGACATGCCATAAGAATTGCGCAATTCCTTTAGATCGTAACAAGTCTGGATGCTGGGCCATGAATGAGTTTGGCAATTGCAGAATATGTCCACGTAAATGCTATTGGTCTGAGCACAGGAACCATCCCTACCTGATCGAATATAAGTTTGTCACTGAAACAAGAACAGTCGAGGATCTGAAACAGAAATATCACAAAGCGATGGAAGGAAAGGCAACGGCTGAAAAAATGATGCGTTCTTTAGAAGAATCTCTTCAAAAAGTGCACTTGCAGGTTCTCACCATGATAAAAAAAGCTCAGCACAGTGTTCGTCGTTTGGACGAAATTGCCCTCAAGCCCAATCCACTCACTGAAGTTGAGTACATTGAAGTTCTTATCGAGTCCGAAAAACGAGGGGCGAAACCCGGTTATCAACAACGCGTCCATTACTATGAGGAGGCTAAACGGCAGGCTGAAATGCTCTCTAAAGTAAAGGATGAGAAAGAAAGTCAGAAGCTGATGCAGAATTTGTCGAGAAAGGGTATGAATGTAAGCCATTACGAAGAAGCAACAGTGGGAATAGCGAACATATCTCTACATCAAGACACATCTCAGAAATGGTACTCACGATTCAAGTTCTGGTGAATATCCGCCTATATTTTTTTCTGCCGAGCAAGTACATCATCTAGAAACTTTGATAGGTTGCAACTATCCGCCTACCAATACTAGTTATTGAGCCAATTTTGTATGCAACTATAAATGACAATTGACATTCAGTAACAGTGAGCCGGCCGGGCTTTAGTCAAATTCAGTCATTCAAACTAAATGTGCATTGCGGTATGAATCTCAGAAAATTGACATTTTCTTTCCTGGTCTTTCTAGATGTAAGGGATCTTGTTATTTCATTTTCTCCTCGTTTATAATATCGTCATTGGTCATTCATTAACCATGGACAAGTAAATTTGGTTGTATGTTCATTTTGTAGGTTTAGAAATCTTTTGATTTATGTCCTTAACTTTGCTGACCTTTTGAAGGTTATTCAGTATAAAGATATACGAAATAGTTTTTTTAAAAAAATGCCTGTGTTACACATGCTGTTTTAAGGCTTATAAAATTATATTGATTGCTCTTGACGTGCTCTTGGGCTCAAAAAGCCCCTGATTTTTATTTTTAAAGCATAACTTAGTTTACATGTGACGTTACATTAGTAAGTTAGTATGACTTGAAGTTCGGCAGCTGGTTCCTATGTCAGCAATTTGCCCCAAAGTTATTGAGAGAAAACTCTGTGTGAAAGGACGGTTTTCCTCGCTGCTTGCATGTATTACGTTAGGGACTATTGAAATAGGTAAAGGGCATAGATAGAAGACATAAAAGAAGAAGAAAGTCTCTGAACCAGTTTGCCGAGTTCTGTCGTAACACAACTCTTCACAAAAACGAAAGAAACTCGAAAGAAAGCGTGAGCAAAGTCAATGTCTGTTTCCCTCTTTTGAGTTAAGTCGAGTTGGATCGAACTCTGATGCATGTTGACTCTCAAGACATGCATTTAATAAGTATTTTTTATCTTCACTTTATTTCAGTCTAATGAATCTGCTTTTATACAGAGTTTTATATCCGTCTCTATTTGCCGAACATAGTTTGTTTTTGGTTTGATATATTTCTCGAGTTATCATTCAGTACGTATATCTTGTTTTAACCTTATTACCGTATTCAGGCGAGGATCTAGGATAAATACTGACCGATTTCCTAAACGAGCGCCGTAGGTACAAGCATATACAGGATATTTTCACTTTAAATTTCGTTACGTTAGCTCCTGTGTCACTTGGATGCGTATGTCTTAAATATACTATTCATCCTTTAACATTCAGGTGACGATTATTTTGTTTTATTCCCCCATGCCAAGTCTCGGAGGCAAATACGAATGTTAACATGGTCGGTCCATTCCTTTGATAACCCTTGGATATTTAGGTTTCACCAAGAGAGGATAGCCCCTTTATCCTCTCTTGGTTTCACAAAGCGGGAAAATTGGCCCGTCACGCCAGATGAGCCAATGAAAGGATGAACCATGGAACGTCTTTGTAGAAGCGACCAGTCACTGCAGACACAGTAGCATGTTGGTACAATTTAGTACGACAGTTGACTTACCATTGCTAGATTATCTTTTAATTGTAATTATTTAATGAATGATTAATAAACTAACAGAAAAAAAAATGGATCCACCACGATTGCTATGCCTATCTACAAACTTAGTACTGAGAGGCCAGACGGTCCCGGGCTATCAGCAAAAACAACAATTCATCAAGAAGCCTGTCACCGGCGGAAGTCTTACAAAGACTTTGAAAGATTAAAAGCAACTACCGTTTTTCACGCATAAATGACTTCTCTGATTTCAAGGGGTGAATTCAAAGTGAATATGTTACAAAGCAAAGAAAACGGGGTATTACTTAAGTCAATATGGCGACTACATTCAATGGCGGAACCTGAAATTACCTAAATAACCTATCTTACTTTTTCAAAGAGCGTTTTTCCTTCTCTACACCCATGCCAAAAGACCACCGTCAATAGTTTTAGTCAATGTGAAAAGTACTTTTTGTTATCACTTCTATTTTCCGAACTGACATTTCACTTTTGGTGTTTCAATGCTATTAGTCGCATGCTGTTTCAGCAATTAATAAGAAGGAAAACTAAGCAAAGGTTTATGATTAGATAGCCATTTATCGTCTGGCTACTTAGAAACCCTTGCTAAATTCTAGGAATCACAGGAAGTGGCTGTCATCATGTTAGGAAGTACTAGGTTAATGAAGCGTAAATGACGCGAACCCTGCCCTTCCATTTGCGTTGGGAAACTGAAAGCTGCTTCAGATTCTTTGCAGAGAAGACGTCTTTTCCTAGAAACCTCAATAACGACTTTCGGGAAAGAGCCTCTTAGCTTTTTAAAAACAGATGTTATTGAGTAAATAGAGAAGGGTACAGAGGCTGAAAAAAGCCGGAGCCCTTGGGAGCACGCTGTCCCAAAGAAACCCCAAGGCGTTATCCCCCACAAAAGTGACTGCGAGCGACTGGGGATGAGGCAGGTGTGTCGTCACTTCCGCTTTCTCATTCTGATGCATACAACTATTAACGCATGCGCAAGGTTTGTTATTAAAAA